ACGCTATTCACGTAGCTGAATTTGCGTATCTTAAATCGACTCCCCCCTGTAGTGTAGATGTACCCTTAGTGTCTGTACTAATGTTAAGGCAGGAACAGACCAGAACAGTCCTTATGGCTGATTGTGGTCACCCTCTGTTTTAGGATAAGTTATAATGGGGGCTGGACTCAATGACCTTTTGAGGTCCCTTCCAGGTCTATGAGATAGGTATGTCTCCATATATTATTATTATTAAGCACTATGCACCATTCAAATCTAGGTTTGGAAGGATTAGATTTTTATCTGTAAATGTCCATAAACGTCAATTTCACTGTGCACACACAAACTGATAGCAAATATTTCCATCGATAATCAAAATTTACAATCGGCAAAGCAAGCAAAATGCTGCTTGAGAACTTAAGAGTCAAAATCCAGTGATTTAGACTTTTGAATTAGGCTGGTTACAAATGATTAATGATAAAAGTAAATGGTTTAGTTACAAATTAGTGAATGAAAGTAAAAACAGGTCTGATTTGCTGGTTTAAGGATATTTACTTGGTATATTTTGACCTGTGATGTTGACAATTTGTGTTTTAATGGTTTGTAAAGCTTTAACTTTTTGAATCTCAGCATGTGTCACTAATAATTGTCTGAACTCTCCATCATTTCCAGTAAACTGTGAAAATTTAAAGAGAGAAAAATCTAAAAAATGCTTTAAAAGAAACATGGATGATATCAGTCAACATTATAGTATGCAAATATAAAAAATCTAATTCTGCCAAGCCCACTAAGCTCCCATGTAAGCTTTTGTACTTCCACTCTTGGCAGGAAACTGTAAGTGGGACTTAAGTGGCGCTTGGGCTTCGTCCTGAATTTCTGCATGGGTTGAACGTTAGTTACCCAATCAGAACCCTCAGGTGAGGAAGGGTTGTGGGATCCAGGCCCTTTCCTTGTTACCTATTTGAAACCATACTGTAAAATACCCCTTCCTTTTGGGGAATAAATAAACCACGATTAAAATTTTTAAAAAGGGTCGAGACCTGTTGGATACAATGAGCATAAGATGCTAGCAATGGCAGGGCAGCATGTTTCAAAGAAGATGGGCTGCAGAGGATTGTGTTGTTTTTTTAATGAAATACTAAATATAGCAAGAGCACAACTGAGGACTGCAGTGCTGTTTTAAGATCTCCTCTGCAGTTAACTAAAATTGATCTCCCTAACAAGTGCTAAAAATAGAAAAGCGGGCGGGGAGGGAGAAGAGCAGACAATGACTTTTCATATTGCTCCCTGCAGGCTCCTTAAATGAGAGTGAATATGACCTTCGTGCAGCACTGTCCCAGAGTGCAGAATAATGAGCGATATTTCACATTTCACTGCTCCAGAACAGGAATTGATTTATTACCCAGCTAGCTAGATGATTCATTTACATGTTTCCATTTATAATGTCGCTGCAGCAAGGGGAAAGCAGGATTCTTTGTTTTCCTTTTATTCAGCAGTTTAGAAGCGTAAAGCATTGATGCTGGGAATAATGGACTGTAATATATGGATTGATAATCCCCATCTGCAGGAAAAACCCATATGAGAGGACTAAGAGGGAGGAAATGTTTTGGAGATTCCCCTCCTGCAGATTTCTTCCCTCTGTTCCATCAAGGGAGGGTGGGTGTATGGGTCCCCACTGGTAAAAGATGTGGGGTAGTCCCCCAACCCTCATGGTCCCTGTGGGGCATGGGAGAGGTGGAGACAGCCCCGTACCCCATGGACTCCTGTTTGGCAGGGCAGTTTCAATGGAGTCCCACTGACAGGGCTTCTGTAAATGGTAGCTGTTCCCAGAATAATAAAGGGGCATCCACGTTAGAGCTGGGCAGGAAATGGTTTTCCTCTCCTGTGCTAATTTTTAAGATTTTTTTTTAAACGTTCCCATTCCAAAGAGGATGAAACATCGAAATCTTGAAAATTTTCCCAAACCAAAAATCTGGAAAAAAAAAATGATTTTTTTTATTTGGTTTGATTTAAATGTTTGGTTTGGCTTCTTTTTTATATTTTTTCATACATTGTTTTACTGTCAATTAACTTAAAAAGAACAGGAGTACTTGTGGCACCTTAGAGACTAACAAATTTATTAGAGCATAAGCTTTCGTGGGCTACAACCAACTTCTTCGGATGCATATAGCTATATGCAT